TTCAGGCCTAAACCACCTTTACATTTAGGTCTACATACCAAGTCCCATTGGCATAGGTGAATCTTACTCTTTCTAGCGCTACCTCCCCAGAAGAAGTTGCGGTTAACACGATCAAGCTCATCACAAGTGCTAATAGGCAATTTAGCAGTTTGCATTGCATAAATGGGGATTGAAGCGGTCACAGCTTGGATAAGGGTGGCCCGACCAGCCATAGATAAGCACTTGCTTTTCCAACCAGCTAGCCTGCTGTGAACCTTATCCACGAGACTATAGTACGTAGCCTTGTTCACACGGTGATGTAAAAGAGGCATGCCTAAATATTTACCCAAGTTCACAGTCAGGGGAGAGCCACATATATCACTTAATTCCTTAGCAAGCTCCTTGCAGGTGTTAGGGGAGCAAAAGATAGCAGACTTAGTAAAGTTGATAGTTTGCCCCGAAGCTTTACAGAATAAATCCAAACAACTCTTCATGATCCTTGCTTGCCTAGGGCTAGCCTCCGCGAAGAGCACCAAGTCATCTGCAAAAAATAGGTGGGAGACACAAGGACCAGATTGAGAAGATCTAACTGGCTTCCACTGCTTCTTGCAAACAGAGTCTGCAATAATGTGTGACAGTTTCTCGATGCATAAGACAAAAAGGTAGGGAGATAAAGGATCTCCCTGTCTAATGCCACTTTTTGGGCTGAACGGATCAGTTAATTCACCATTGACACAAACTTGATATTGTACAGTGGAAACACAGCTCATAACCAGTTGAACAAAAGGCGTAGGAAGGTTCAATTCCCGGAGCACCCTTTCAATAAAAACCCAATTCAATCTGTCATAGGCCTTGGATAAGTCAATCTTCCATGCCATAAACCCTTTCTTTCCCTTAGAAATCCTGAATTTATGCATAAGTTCTTGAGCGATGAGGATGTTGTCAGTGATATGTCTACCAGGGACAAAGCTAACCTGGTTAGGACTAATCAGACTAGGCAAAATAGGCCTCAGGCGAGCAACCAAGATCTTTGAGATTACTTTGTAGAGAGTGCAACACAGGCTTATAGGTCTAAAATGTATCATAGAGCTGGGGTTTTCCAGTTTAGGCACCAGAGTGATCAGAGTGGAATTAAGCCCTCCAGGAATCCTACAATCCTGAAGACTTTGATGGACCAAATCAAGGATATCAATAGCACAAGTGTTCCACTGTTTCTGATAGAAACAAGCCGGGAAGCCATCAACTCCAGGGGCTTTAAGACCCCCAATGCTGAAGAGATTCACCTTAACTTCTTCCATATCAACATCAGCCACCAAGGATTCCAAAGCTTCAGAGTCAATGCTGGGGAACATATTAGGAATTGTAAAGCTGTTGGTGGCCACCGGGGCAGGGGAGAACAACTCAGAAAAATATTGCATAGCCAAATTCTTGATACCATCCGCCTCTTCTACCCAACAACCAGCATCATTCTTGAGTCTGTCAATTTTATTCCTACGCCTTCTAATAATTGTGGACAAATGGAAGAACTTAGTATTGCGATCGCCCTCTTGAAGCCATTTGACCCTTGATTTTTGGCGCCAAAACATAGCCTCTTGGTCAAGAATATAATTAAAATCTGCAACAAGAATAGATTCCAGGTTAATAAGAAAAGTATTCGGCCCTTGGTGTAAGGCCTTTTGGAGGCCAGCCAAGCGAGCTAAAATTCTGGCTTTCTTTTGCTTGAGATGACCAAACACAGATAAATTCCATTGCTGGAGGGGTTCCACTAAGGCACAAGATTTATCCAAGGCAGAGCCAGAGGAGAGCTCCCAGTTCTGAGCAATAAACTCTTGGAAGTTCTCATGCTTCAACCACATGGCTTCGAACCTGAAGGGTCTGTTGAGGGGGGAAGAAGAGAATTTAGACTTAAAACAGATTTTGAGGGGACTGTGGTCAGACTTAGTCCTTGGCAGGTGGATGACATGAGCATCAGCAAAGAGACTCCTCCACTGAGTGTTGCAAATAGCTCTATCAAGCCTTTCAAGCACCTTCTTATTAGTCCAAGTATATTTAGGCCCAGAGAAACCTAAGTCACACATCGCATGTTGGTCAAACCAAGGTTTAAAACCACTTAACCGACGTATAGGAGCACCTCCTAATTTATCACTTTTATTCAACATATCATTAAAGTCCCCAGCAAGTAACCAAGGCAGATTATGACACCCCTCAACAAATGAGAGGTACTCCCAAAGCTTGTCCCTTTTAAAGCCACAAGGTTTAGCATAGACTGCAGTAAAAATCCAGGGAGTTTGGCCAGGCCAGGAAATACAGGCAGAAATGGCTTGATCATGAGTACCAATAATTTCCACCTTTACCCTGCTGTCATCCCACATCAGCCAAAGACCTCCAGAGAAACCAATAGGATCCACGATTTCAAAACACGGAAAGCCAAGGGTTTTAACCATAGAAACAGCTTTCAACCCACTTATACGAGGCTCACAGACAAAAAGAATTTCCATGTGGTGGCTTCTAATCAAATCTTGCATAGTATTTCGAAATTTGGTGCAGGCTGCACCTCTAGCATTCCAGCATAAAATCGACATAAAAACTGGTATGAAGAAGGTAAGTACTGCAGGGCCAGACCCTTTAAGTCCCAGAGTTTATACCTCCCGTAGCATTGGAGGTACTGGTAGCCGTGGCCCCATTTGGGGGGCTTATGTGGTCTTCAGCCATTTCCATTCTCTCTGTTGGGGACAGTTCACCTTGAGCAGTGTGTCCCATAGAGTTGTTGGAAGTGCCACTTTCAACAACCTCCATCTGATCCGCACCAGAACCAACAATATTAGGAGGTTGATGCCCAAAGTGATAGACACCCTTGGTACTGTAAGTCTTGTGACCATTGGCCCAAAAAGCTAGTTGCTCATTCAAGGAGATTTGCTTAAGCATTGTTTGTCCACCAATCACTGATTTTCCTTTTGTAGACAAAGTTTCTTGGGGAGGGTTGCCTGGGCCACGGGTATTCTTGGAATCACCCGGTAATTTCACAGTCTCCTTGGTAGACTTGTTGGAAATATCATTCAGCACAGGTCGAGCACTACCTTTGTTTGCATTAGATTTAGTCCAAGTTTTTTTCCAAATAATAAAGCCATGGACACAAATCGATAGTGCGATCTGAGGCCAGAGTATAGCTGCGCAAAAAAGCTCTCGAGCTCGAAACCCAAAACTCCTTCGCATGGAGGAGGGCTCCCCAGGGGCTGTGTTGAACACTAATCGCTTCAGCAAGAGAAGCAGAGTTACTGAAGATGGTGACATGGAGAGGGAAATGGTCTCTGAATCTGACCCTCATCAGATGACTGCTCCTGGGCAAAATCAGGTACTGACCTCTCCTCTTGGCTCTGAAAGTTTCAGAGATAAGTTAATGAAGAAAGTTAATTTGGCTAAAAACGTCGGAATTGATGTGAATCACCTTAATGATGCTTATGATGATCTGAACGATGAAGATGATGTGGTGATCTCTAAAGGGGAAAAGGGACCAAGCATACAATTTTCAGAGCGTGCTATGTCGCGTCTCTGTAAACCTTGGCAGAATGCTCTGATCATCAAACTCTTGGGTCGTTCCCACACACATAATTACCTTCAGGCTAGACTACAGCAGAAGTGGAGCTTAAAGGGTGGTTGGAAACTGGTTGATTTAATCAACGATTACTTTGTGGTTAAGTTCGAACTTGAGGAGGATCTCAACTTTGTTCTGACTGGAGGTCCATGGATTATTGGAGGCCAATACTTGATTATGCAAAATTGGAGGCCTGGGTTCTGTCCAGCTACTGCCCAAATCACTCGAATGGCAGCTTGGATTCGGGTGTCAGCCCTCCAACTGGAGTGCTTTGATACCTGGGCATTAAAAAGAATTGGGAATCTGTTGGGAAAGCTTTTGAAGATTGATACCCTCACAACCTCCCAAAACAGGGGCAAGTTTGCTCGGCTTTGTGTGGAGCTAGATTTAACCAAGCCCCTGGAGGCCTTTGTTCAAATCAACCAGGTGTGGTACAACATTGAATATGAAGGTCTCCCTGAAATATGTTATATGTGTGGCCATTATGGTCATAAAAAGGAAAACTGTGCTTTGCTCAAGAATATGCCTGCTGAGAAGGCTGGTGCAGGCTCAGATACAGGAGCCAACGAGACTGTAGGAGGTGGGATGGTGATGGGCACAGAGGGCATGGATATTAGTGTTGAGAACCTGAGGGGACCATGGATGAATGTTCCACCTAGAAGAAAACCCAAAAGTGGTTTTAAAGATGGAGGAAATAAGGGAGCTGGAGGTACCAACATGGGTACTCGATTCGATGCACTCAACAAAGTAAGTGATGACTTTGGCAGAAATAGTGAATTTGTGGCTGGAAGGGGTAACCAATTTGGGTCCAACCATGTGGGTACATCTAAACGAGGTGAGGAAAGGTTTAATTATTAAGTTGATTATAAAATAAAAAAAAAGAATGCGGAAAACTATTAATGTATTGATAATTATTTCGTCCCCCATCTCGGCTTACATACCTGTTGTATTCAAATTGTGGACTTCCTATCCCCACCTTCAATGGGAACCGAATTCCAAGCCCCGCCCCATCACGAATATATCAATAAAAAAATTATTAATTAATTAGAGAAAAGAAGTTAAA